CCAGAACAATCGCTGCATATCAATGTCACAGCTGAGAGCCGTTCACCTGGCTTGCCAGACTTTCCAGGCCCATCTTCAGGGCAAGTGTGTCTCAGTGATGGACAACACCACAGCGATGCTCTGTATAAACAAACAGGATGGTGCTCGCTCCTCTCCCCTGTGCCAGGAAGCTCTCCGACTGTGGGACTTCCCCTTTGTCAGATTATTCTGGCAAGACGGAACTGAGCAGGCAGCGGGTCAGCAGGGGACTATATACACACTGCATTTAAGGTGCCACTCCAGGGGGCTCCACAGCCGATCCGCTGGGTACCGTTAGGGTAAAACCTTCCAATGATAGTGCATACAGCACACGCACACCCCTACTGGAATGGACATGAGCAAGCACTCTAAGAAGAAATGTTATGTCCTCCAAAATGTGGAAGGCCTGAAATCACAGAAAACTCTTCTGTAGCACAGCCACAGAGTGCTCCCTCCCCTGTATTCCCAAATTGTTCTGCAATTTTTTTGGCATGAGGAAGCCATTTTGATTTTAACTGACCATTGTCTCTGCAATTAAACTGGCAGTGCTCAGGGAACTTCTGTGGTCTGAAACATCCTTCTCACAACATACCAAAGTTCAGTTTGGACATGTTATGCCCTTGGAATTCCGCTGGGATTTTTTTCTGTACTCCTGCACTGAGCAGTTTGAGACAGTAACCCACTGTGTCTTGTCCTACTCCAAAGCCCCTCAACCTCTACTAGCTGCGGAACCTCTCCACCACTTATCTACACAGCAGCAGAAACCTGGATCAGCAGACCTTCACGGTCCATTCCAAGAGGAAGCGTTTTCATGATGAACTTTTGGTTGAAGTTCTGGAGAGACCCAACAAGCAGGTCCAGTACAAAAGACAGAGGGATTTACAACTAGGAGGAAAGTCATGGCAAGAGGCAGGAGGAAAGGCTCAGGCTGGCTGCACAGCTTGAGGACAGGATTTCAACATGAGAGCAGGCTCTTGCTTCGCAGTTCCTGGAACAAGAATGGCAGCTAAGGGAGGATGACAGCGCTCTGCAGAAAGAGCTGTTTGAACAGCTGACATCTCTAATGGCTGACAGTGTATCGGCTCCTGCCGCATAACCCAGACCATGGCCTGAGTCCCCTCCATGGTACCCTGTGATGCAGTCAAGAGACAGCTGGGACAAATCCATGGCTGGGTGACCCATGCAATCAGGCCCTATGAATAGCAGGGCAGGGCAACTGTGCCCTATGTAGTCTTCCCTATTGAGCTCCTTCCCCTGGCACTAAGTGCACAGCAAATATGGAAGGAAGGGAAAGGATAATGGGGGGCCTGGGGACATTCAACAGTAGGGGGTTTTATCTTGTACATAGTTTCACTGTTTTCACTTGTTCATGCACTTTATGATTTGTTTTGAGTCTTTTTAAGGGTTTGTTGTTGTTACAGGTGTTTTTGTGTGATAATGGCAGCTGGCCTGCCTGGCAATGGGTTAATGGTGTGTTTTTCTAATCCATATTTATAAATAAACCTTTTATTTTATCAAGAAAGTTTATTGTTTTCACTGCATCACATCATACAATGTGTATTTAAAATAAAGGTAAACACATGATCAGGGACTATTCCTCAGTACAGTTAGTTACATCAATCCATACATCAATCACTTCCTTGCATCAGTCCATACTGTGAATCAATGTCCCTCTCCGTTTGATAAGCAATCAGGTCATTCATAAGTACATTGCATGGAAATCAACCCCCCACCTCTCCCTCAGCAATGAAAACCCACCACAATCTATCAGATCCTTCTCCCCCACAAGCACATCCATAAAGGCACTATTCTCCCTCTTCCACGCAGCCACATAAATCCAAAATGTGGGGTCACAAAGCATCCCTGACTTCTGTCGTCTTGATGCATGCAGCTCCAGCTGTAGTAGGTGCTCTTTCTGGCTGTGGGTACTGATTCAGTGGCCCCTTGCTGTCATAGGCCCATTCAGGGGGAAATGGATACCTCTGGCTTCACAAAGACTGGCGAGCACAGCAAGTCACAGTAATGCACACAGCATTGATGACACTGGAATCTGTCTAAATATCTTTAGTGGGTTTTCAATCTGCCAAAAGTACATTCAACAGCCATTCTACACCTGCTGAGAGTCTAATTAAACCTCCTTTTGCTCAGGCCTTTGAAATCAGGGTACAGTTTCATAAGCCAAAGCAAAAGGAGGTACACCCAGGGTCCCCCAGAACAATTGTGGGGACAGTAACTCCATTTATTACAATGTCACTTGGTGGGAATAGTGTCCCAGCTTGTCCAGGAGTGTAGATTTCCCAGAGGTGAAAAACCATGGCATCACAAACTTTCCCAGTACAACCCATGTTGACATTCATAAATCAACCTCTGTAGTCCACAAGAGCCTGGAGGAGTAGTATGGAGTAGTACTCTTTGTGGTTTATGTACTCATGTGCTCGTTGAGGAGGGCAAACTAGGGGCACGTGAGTCCCACCAATGGTCCCTGAGCAGTTTGGAAACTCCATCTTCTGAAACCCAGCTATTACTTCAGGAATATCTTTAATGCCCATCTCCTTGGAGATAAATCACATGCCTGATTACCCACAGTGAACTTGCCAATACAGAACTGGTTGGCAAAGGACCTGTAGCAATCTGGGGTAGTCAGCTTCCAGACAGTTATAGCAACCCGCTTCTGGACTTGCATGGCTGCCCTCATGTGGGTGTCTTTATAGTAGAAAGGTTGAGGCAAACGGTTCACAAATGTATCTTCCTTCATGCAAAAGTCCTGGATCCATTTTTGGCCACCCCAGGTCTGTATGACAATGTGGTCCCACCAGTGTGTGCTTGTGGCCCTGCTCCAGAAGCTCCGGTCTGCGAAGGGGGCATCAGCAGCAATACAGAGTATCATAAGCAGCATCAGTTTGAATTTGCAATGTTTGTGTCTTCCTCCTCCTGCTCCATCAGAAGCTCTGTCAGGTGCCTCCAGTGGGTCAGAAAATGTTCCCCAGCGTATCTGCCTGTTTCCTGAAACAGGAGTGAAATCACAAGGGAGAGTTCTTCAAAAGGCACCTCATCCACACTGCTGGCTCTGGTAACTGGGAGAATGTGGACCAAAATGATGCTGGCCAGGATGTGTTGGCTGGTTGTTCAAACTTCCTATAACGTACAGCGTGGACAGTCAAGTTTTCCCACGCTGCATCATAATCAAAGGGATAGAGTGGCCACATTTTGGGAGGGCAAAAAGGAGTCTGGAATACAGTTGGTTTGACTTGTGTCTACGTGCAGCACTTTGGACACTAGTGCCCCAGATTTGAGCCCAGGTTAGAAAATTCTTAATCTAGGGTTGACAGTCATTGTGGATGCTCAAGCCCTGGGTTCTCTAACCCAGGATCTGCTGACTCAAGTCCCACTAACCCTGGGCTTACATTGCAATGTAGACATACCCTAAGAGTCTGAGGTCTCGTTTTCACTACAAAATCTGATTATGTTAGAATATAAGGAGGGAAAAGTTAAGCTAGCCATGATATTACTGAGCAAGGATTTTGCAGTCTGAATAGACAAGGACGAGCTGTAAACTGTGTCATGGTGACAAGTTATGGTAACCTTAACGAGTATTTGAACACAAATATAGGATAACAGCTCCTGAAGTTCAACCGTGATTGGTTGATAACAGTGCTGATCACAGCTTGCCCTTGTCTACATTAAGGGCAAAGTTGTGGTCTGCATCAGTTTAGTTAATCTGATTCTTCACGTGTGTCCTACCAATCAAATTTTGTAATGAAGACAAAGGCTTAGAGGCACTAACTACAGCACGTGTGTAGGTTGTCAAAGTTACCAGGCTGACTGCACCTCAGACCCCTCCTGGTCTGAGTGCACCTACTCTAGTTCTCAGGCCTCTAGTGGAATCACACAATGCTCCCGCTATCAGACTTGCCCCTGTGTTGCAATCTACTGTGCATCAACCATGATTTACCACAGCAGGTTTGACTTATGCCCAGACTCTGCGATTCTGTTCCCTTTGGGACAATAACTGGTAATCAGTGACCAACAGCTTCCTTAAAACAAAATTTTATTCATATAGAACAAAAGCATTCAGAGGAAAAATATATTTTATCTTAAGAACAATAAACCAGGCTGTACATGTGTGACTTTTTCCTAAGGTGTCCCTGGCCCTGGGAAAGTCCAGCTTTTTAAGACTCCCTCTCTGTCCGTCTGTCTCCCTGGACAGTTCTGACAAGTGAAAGTTTTAACTGTTTAGCCCTCTTCTGATCACCAAGCTCCCAGCTTCAGCAAAACAAGGTTTGCAACTTGTTTGAGACAGGATCCTTGAAGCTAACAGCTTGCTCCACTGTTTTTAAAGTGTATATATGGGTGTTCTTTTCTGGAAAGCCATTGTGTCGCTTTCATACACAGACCCCACTGAATTCACATATTATAGGCGCGTAAACCCTCCATTACTCCTAAGACACTTCCCCTTACTGACCAAGTCACAGTGTTAATAACATTACATAGCATTAGTCATAATACTATTACATATCAGCTGTGCATCTGTCACATAAGTGTTTACCATTGAGTAGCATGAGGTACTACTCCCATTCCCTGCAAGCTAGGGAAAAGAGACAGGTTATCTAACTTGGAAGTCCTGCATGACAGAACAGAGCACTGGCCCTAGGTGGGCCTAGTCTGTACAGTGTAAATACTAGACTGTTACTTTATATAGCTTGAAACATTGGTACCTCCAAGTTACATCCTCTACTGCAACAAGCTGACGTATTTCTGTATTCCTCTTTGTTCTGGGGAAGAATAGGCATAAGTATTAATAGAAGAAATCTTGTCGGAAGTCCCTGGTCAACAAGTCTTTAGAATTAATAACCCTTTCCTATTAGAGATATCAAAATCTTATGTAAAGATTTCTGAACGAGAATACTCAAAATAGTGGCACCAGGAATAAACTAACTTCTTACCTTCAGGGGTGATTTATTTTCCCTCTTTTTAAATTTTAGGCAGCCTCCACCCAGTATTCTTGATCTACAAGGCTGCAACACTAGGGGCAGGCTTGCTTGGAATTGCACTGACTATGACAACTTCTATCATGCAAAGAGCAAATGGGCTGCAATGACCAGGGACAGCTGGTCATCAAGGGGATCTGCGCTTCCAAGGTTAAAGGTACAGTACTTTCCCTCACAGCGGTATAGCTGAAAAATTTCAACTTGAGACTGTGGTAGTGGCAAGAAAATGATAGATGGAAGGAGGAGGCTGGCTTCTTAGAATTGGTCCTGGTGCTGTAGGACTTGGCAACGCTTTTTAAATGGGGAACAATTTGCTGTCTGGGGAATCATATACTCTGTTCCAGAAGAAAGTTTAGCTAAATAAACCTGCTTAAAACTAAAGTGATCAGCATCAGCAGGCCAGTCCCTATACAGGTTTTTAGGGCCTATATTGAATCTCAAAACAAGTCTTAGCACCTGTAGCGTACAGTATTCTAGGAACACAGGAATAGATGTAACACTAATAGACACCAAAGCATTACTGGTTTGTTCGTGATAAGTAAACAAATACCAAGAGGAGATTAACTGTCTAGGCTTTTTTGTGTGCGTGTGCACACACTCCTAGGCCACAGAGGTACAACAGTAAAATAAAACTGCCCAACAGTTCATATCTGAAACGAAATGGTTATACGCAGTGTTGGAATTCAGTTCCAGAATGGGGACCCACTTTCTTGTTGCTCAGATACCAGCTCCAGTCCTCTTTCCATATAATTCAAGTTGGATACCCCAATCACCTCAGCACTCTGTGGTAGGGGAAAGGCCATGAAAAAGTACTCGTGAATCCATTCTTCTACAGCTGAAAACCATTCTCACTCCATCCGTAACAGGGCAACAGATTGCTCTCTGTACGGGAACCTCTTCTCTCATAGAGGGAGCAATGGAACTTTCCTTTTGTCATAAAGGCTTTTACCAGATCACCATGGGATCGTTATAACTCCAAAATTCCGTTTATAGGAGACTGCATTTATTTTTAAAAGCTTGAGACAGTCATTCATAAGTTCACGAGTGCTGTCTTGATCTTGAGGGCTCTCTGGACAACATGCAGTTCATACTTGTAATTCTTAGACTGTCTTAGTCCTGGGATTGTGCCAAACAGAAGATTGACTGTGACATATTACAAGGGTAGTTTTTCAGCATGAGGATTATTAGTATGTAGCAATTAAGCTAATTTTAGTTGGGAACAGAAGTATCATAAGGTCAGAGTCTTGTGTTTTGTTTCCCAACCCACCCAGCTACCTTTTCCCACATCTAAAATCCTCTTTCATTTTTAGTTTCACTCCATTGCTTTTCCTTCAATTGTGTATTACAGAAGACAGAACAACAAGAATATATTAATCCATCACTGGTTGTTGAACTGACTTCATCCTAGCTATATTTTATCATGTCTCCTGTACTGGAGGGAAAAGCTATTCTTTAAAACACAATATTTCTTTGTTTTACACCAGAGTTAGCATATAGTCCACAGTAGTTCTATCAATTGCAGCCCACTGGGGTTAAAAAAAATAATAGTGGTCTTCAATAAATAAATAGATAAGGTACATCACCACCAGCTTTGTAATTCCAGTTGCCATTTATTTCATGGAAAATAAGTCTCAAACCAGGTATCTGCCACTAGTAAGTATTAGGATTTTGTTGTTTCAGGACACAGTTTTGAAATAAATCCTGAATTTTGTTGGCAAGTGTCAAATCATGGAATTGAGGTTAATAGTGAAAAATTACATCCCCAAGCCTTGACTGCCTTAGTCTGGTTTGAATACTTTTATCAGTTTTATTATTCATGGTCAGGCTCAGAGAGTCTACGTTTGAGTTTTTTTGGCAGATGTACACACCGTCTCCTACTTTCTGACCCTTCTACCTAGGTGTTGCATGTGTACTGATCTACAGCTCCTGTTGATACCATTCAATTTATGCTCCTGCTTCTTGTCCAACTGCTGACATCCTGTCCCATTCTCAACCCCTCATTCATTCATAAAATGTACCCTAAAACATCATCATAAAAATTCATAGAATCATAGAAGATTAGGGTTGGAAGAGACCTCAGAAGGTCATCTAGTTCAACCTCCTGCTCAAAGCAGGACCAACCCCAACTCAATCATCCTAATGGCTTTGTCATTCTGGGCCTTAAAAACCTCAAAGGATGGAGATTCCACCACCTCCCTAGGTAACCCATTTCAGTGCTTCACCACACTCCTAGTGACATAGTTTTTCCTAATATTCAACCTAGACCTCCCCCAGTGCAACTTGAGACCATTGCTGCTTCTTCTGTCATCTGCCACCACTGAGAACAGCCAATCTCCATCCTCTTTGGAACCCCCCCTTCAAGTAATTGAAAGCTGCTATCAAATCCCCCCTCACTCTTCTCTTCTGCAGACTAAATATCCCCAGTTCCCTCAGCCTGTCCTTGTAAGTCATGTGCCCCAGCCCCCTGATCATTTTCGTTGCTCTCCACTGGAGTCTCTTCAATTTGTCCACATCCTTTCTGTAGTGGGGAGCCCTACACTCCAGATGTGGCTTCACCAATGCCGAATCGAGGGGAATAATCACTTCCTTCGATCTGCTGCCAGTGCTCCTACTATATGCCGTTAGCCTTTTTAGCAACAAGGGCACACTGTTGACTCATATCCAGCTTCTCATCCACTGTAATCCCCAGGTCCTTTTCTGCAGAACTACCGAATTGTTAGGGTCAATGCATTATCTAGAGTTCACGGCCTTATTGATTAAGTCACAAGTAAAGATCTGTTTTATGGACTCCTAAGCCTAAGAAGAAGTTTTCACTCAACATGAGGTAACCACATAACTCAGCACAAATGGTGCTCTGGTTAAGGCCTAGACCAACAAGGGAAAATGCAAGTCAGGATTATGACTCAAACACAGCTGTGCCAATGTACTCTGTATGCTACTAGGCTTTCAGTCTCATGAGCACTAAATTCTGTTTACCTTAAAAAGGTCACTGTTTTGGTAAGAGTCCTATGTAAAGGACAGTTCATCACAAAGTGAGTGAACTTGAATCATAGTGACAGTACAGTACAACGAAGTTGTATTCACTGAGCTTGCCTGTATGGGACAGAGCGTGATACCACACCAAGCACTGTAGGAGATTCCAGATATATGTCAAAAGGCTAAAAAATTTACAGTTACTGCTACAAAATAAAAGAAACTGAAGCCATTTCAGGGAGATGCACTGTGAGGAGAACTTGATGCCAGGAGTTATTTTTCTTGTCCCCTTCAGCCTGAGATATTACTAATCTTTATGGAGTTCAAACTGAAGATGGGATACCTGGTTATAAAGATACAAACCAAACTGTACCTCAGCTCTATTCCCAAATGTAAGGGTGGAAAAAATTGTTACATTAATCCTCTCTCCTTGTATGTAATGATCGGATGCAAGGCCAACAGATCCAGTTGCTTCTACGGTTTCTCCATTCAAATCTCATGCTGCTCTGAGGCCTCCGGACTGGAGAGTTGCTTGGTGTACTGTGGACAGTATCCAGCTTGGAAGCTTTAGAAAGGTGATAGATTTGGCATAAAAAACTGCCCCGAAACAACTGGAAATCTGGTGAAGTCTGTGATTGTTCATGGAGGTGAACATTAAAAAAAAAAAAACACCAAAAAATTGAGTTAAGCACAAAAATACAAATACAGAACCTCAAGCTCTTAGGGTACTTGGCACACAGACAAGTATAAAATAATTTTGTTTTTAAAATAAAGTCATATAGATGTTATAAAAAGCCTTCTGGCCAGTTCAGAGGTTGCTGTTGACACCTTCTGAACATTTACACCCTGGAACATGTAGGTGTAGTGATAAGTTGGGCCAGAGAGTTTCATGCAAGTTGATATCTCCCCCTGCCTCACCAATATAATGTTAAAGCAGTGCATTTTCCAAATAATTCCTTTTTAAAAGATGTTTTAAAATACATTGGAGCTTGCGTGGGGGAGTAAGGAGTGAACCTGGAAACAGCCACAGGCCTATGTGAGATCTATTGAATTAAGAGATACTTAGTTCCTCCACAGAATCTAATTAGCGAGGGCATTCGGCACATTCATGCTCAATTTTCATTTCTGCTCACAGATCACTTTTAAGGTATCAGCATTTGTCTGGGTATAAATGGGGAGGGGGCATCTATAGATTTGAGTAGAGTTTAGATAACATAAGCTCTCGAACCTTGCGAAGACTGTATTACGATGTCGTATCTGCTGCTGCACTAATGGTAATGGTAGCCAATTGTACCCATCCATGCAGTGTTCAATCTGAGCTTTATCCACCAGAAGCAGAAAAACATTTCCAGGAAGAGATTTAAAATGAAAAAAAAAAAAAAAAAAAAGATACACAAGACCATTTAAACTGAATTCAAAGAGTTTATTGCACCAAATATCGCAAAGAAATAGACCAAAATTATACTGTACATAAACAGCAGGAAGAAAAAAATTTCCACACAGTTTGATACTGGTACCCAATTCAGTACCCATCCTAAAAAATGGAAATCCATTCATAAAACATGCAATAGCAACACAATCAGATTTGCTTCTAGTATGGATAACCAGTTATGTATGTCATTTTAATCCATTTACCTGGAGTAGCTAATGTATAGCGTATAATTGGCAGTTAAAAGGACTCAAATCAGAATTGAGTCCTTTTAAGTCAAGGCAAGAGAGGAGGGTGGGGAGAGGGAAATCTTGCTTTAGATAGTGACCAAGTTGTGTCACCTTTACATACAACAGTTTGGTATTTTGAAAAAGGGCTTTTTACTTTCAAGAGTGAAAATATACAAGCAAAACAACTTATTTATAATTTTGTCCTCCAAATTATAGCTATGAAACACACAGAATTAAAAGTATATATTCATACATTTGAGGCAAAAGAACCATAGTTAAGATTCATTAATAATTTGGGAAGCTATAAACTAGATTAAAATGTTTAACTCTTATTGAAACTGCTTTAGATTAAGAGACTTCAATTTTATGCAGTCCCACAGCTTAGTGTTCACCTGTATTGGCATTTCTCCCCCAGGTTTGTAAAGGTTTAATTTAATCTGAAGAGTGTACATTTTTTACATTGGAATGTGTAAACTGCATTTCTGTAGGGTTTTGAAAGATTACTCAGCCTCACTTGAAAACCAAGAAAAATATGTATTAAGAAGTTTACAAAAGATTTATAATACTGATAAAAATAAAAAAGCTTTGGAATCTTGAAGATTTAAGCTACATTTTTATTTCACTGTAAGTTTTAAACATTTTTCCTGTACATTCATACCACTTTCCATTCTATTAAAAAAATAAAACTGAAACATGCTATAAAGATGTCTAACACAACAACATTTGTACATACTTACTGCTCTGTCATGCCACACCAACTTGCCCAACCAGCAAGATGCTACAAAAATGTTCAACAGGTAAGCCTTACAAAGTTGAAGAAGCCCTGAAGGTAGTATCCTGTCAATTGAGGTAGTATATTTGGTGGGAGGGAGGAATATTTAAGTTTCTTTAGACTAATGCCAACATTTTTTTAAAATGAATTATACAAACCTTAATTTTAGAAATGAAATTTGAGACTAAAAATAGGGCAGTCTCATTGTGTAATTTGTGAAGAGCAGCAAAGAGTTATATAAAGGGCAGTAACTACACTGTAAAGATTTTATATTGGGCTGAGGAAAAGTTGAGTGCATTTGAATCATCAATTCGTATATCTCCTTAAATTAACGTACAATTTTATCAAACAGCAGCATTTGTTGGGGGTAAGTAGTAAATTAAGGATTTCTGATCAAGGTTCTAATCCTGCAACATGATGTGTGCAA